CGGGAGGTACTTGACCACGCCCTCGGGCTCCAGCTCCTTCCTCAAAACGTCCACCAGCAATCCCTGCTTGACTTCGACCGTGCTCTGCGCCTGCACCCCTTGCCGGATCTCGCTCACGCTCATCCGAAGACCTTTCCGCGGTTCCAGAAATTCCTTCACGGCCGCCGTCAGCAACTGCCTCGCCTCCCGGTCCCGGCTTGTCCCGTCGATGTTCCCCAGGTCCAATTTCCCCGTCTCCGGGTCAGTGGCCGCCTTCAAAGTGGCCTCCGCCATCAACCGCATGGCTTCCACCACGTCCGACCGCTCCACCACCGAGGCCAACCGGATTTTGGCCAGGGCCTCGGACAGACGGATCAAAGATTCCAGCTGGCGTGGCGTGGCCGTGATGGTCTTCCCTTCGCCCCCGCTTCCCCGCAGCCCCAGGTACCCCTGAATGAGTTGTTCCCCTGCTTCTTCGGAGAGAACGGGGAAGACGTGGGCGCGCGCGTAGGCAATATAGTCCTTGAGCAGGGCGTGGTCGACATCCGGGGCCTGAGGGAGGGGGGGGAGGGGGGGAAGGAGGGCAGGGGTGTGTGATTTGTGCCGGCAGGGAGCCATCATGCGGAGGGCGAGGTCAAATGACAAGGAGCGTGGGGCCCTCCAAAAAACATAAAAGAAAGAAGAGAGGAAGAGAGATGAAAGAGATTTTCCATGGTTCGTCGGCGGCGCCTGATGTTAACCGAGAGATAGGGGGGTCGAGGGGGGGGGGAGGAACACCAATAGGCACCCTTTGCGAAAAACGAGGGCGCGATGGGCACGCCTGCGAGTCTTTCCTGGAGAAAGCAGATGGATCCATTCCCCCCTCGGGGCCTACCTCGACGGCAGGTTCCTCGTAATAGAGCGAGATCAAATGCCGCGCCAGACGCCGGTCCTTGTCCTCGTCCGGGCTGTCCAGGACCAAGTAGATGAGGTCGAAGCGGGACAAGAGGGTGGGTGGCAACTGGATGTTTTCCACCACGGACAAGCGGGGGTTGTACCGGGAGTCGACCGGATTGGCGGAGGCCAAGATGGACGTGCGGGCATTCAGGGTGCAGATGATCCCTGCCTTGGCGATGGAGACGGTCTGTTGCTCCATGGCCTCGTGGAGGATAGCCCGGGTGGTTTCGCTCATCTTGTCGAACTCGTCGATGCAGCAGACCCCTTGGTCGCTCAACACCAATGCCCCCGACTCCAAGACCAGCTCCTTCGTCTCCACGTCCCGGATGACGGAGGCGGTCAGGCCCACCGCCGAGGAGCCTTTCCCCGAGGTGTAGATGCCCCGGGGGGCCAGGTTGTGCACGTAGAGGAGGATCTGCGATTTGCTCGTCCCCGGATCTCCGCAGAGGAGGATGTTGATGTCCCCCCGGCAGCTCACGGCGCCGGGGTCCTCTGCCTCTTCTTCTTCCTCCTCTTCCCCTTCCCGTCTATCGCCGTTCATGCCAGGGCCGGTCCCTTCCGGGGCCAACGCCCGCCCTCCCTCCCGCCCTCCCTCCCGCCCTCCCTCCCTCCCTCTCCCTCCTTCCCGCCCTCCGCTCCCACCCACGCCTCTCTTTCCGCGCCCCTGCCTTCTTGTCCGTTCCTCCAAACAACAAACACAGGACCCCTTTCTTCACGTCCTCCATCCCCCAAATCGAAGGGGCCACTGCCCGGGACAATTTTTCGTAGATCCAAGGGTCTTGGGACAGGGCCTTGATCTCGGCCACCCGCGACGCCGGCAAGTGCAAGCCGCGCATCCGGGTAGTATCGCACCCCGTCGTCCCCACCCCCACCCCTTCGCCGTCCCCCCCGGCTAGTCCCGACCGACCTGTGCCTTCCCCCGGGCCCGCCTCCACCTTCATGTCCTTGTCGACGTGACTGAAATGCAGGGCTTCCACGTGGGTTTTGTACACGGAGCGGAGCGTGGTCAAGCGGGGGTGGACCCGGCGGGGAGCCGCCCGCAAGATCCCCGTCACCTCCACCCGATCCCCCGGACGCACCGCGTCCGTGAGCTCGTCGAAGGCAAAGAGGGTCAGGCTGTTCGGAGTTTCGCCCTCGGGGATTTCGTCGGGGGTTTCCTGCATCCGGATGATCTGTTTGTTCGTGTAGGCGCACCGGTTCGTCAACAGCTCCATCGCCTCCTTGGCCTGGCAATGCTCGCAGCGGACAGGCTCCTCGATCCGGCCCCGGTCGTTCTCCACCAGCACCTCAAAACCGCACATAAAGCAGCGGAAACACCCCAAATGGAGCTCGGGAATAATGGTGCTGCAGCGAATTACCATGCCTCGCAAGGCAACCAGGTGGTCCACATCCTCTGGATTCAAATTCCGCATCTTGCTCACCCGTTTCAAATTGAAAAGACGGACCTGGATCCGCCTCCCGTCCTCCCCTTCCCCCCCTCCCTCCCCCCCTTCCCCCCGCATTCGGGCAGCTTCCTCGTTGACGACCTTATCCATGAAAGAGACCGTCTCCTGCGGGTAGTGGGTGATCACGTGGTACAGCCGCCGGGCCGGGAGGAAATTCCACAAATGTCGGCAGTTCAAATTGATCCCCACGTCCCGGTTCGCTATCGCTGTTCGAATCAGGGATAAGTAGTGCGATGCCCCCTCCCCCTCGCCTTCCTCCTCCCCCGGTGCGGGAGGGAGGCGGTAGCGGCGCAGGAACTGCCGAAAACGACGGACGAAATGGAGGATCGGGTAGGTGGTGCCCCATATCACCGCCCCTTCCAAATCCGCGTCCCCCGGTTCCAGAACCTCCTCTCCCCCGCCCAGACCTCCCAACTCATCGTCCCCTCCTCCTCCTCCTCCTCCGCCTCCGCCTCCGCCACCCCCACCCCCCCCTCCACCTCCTCCTCCTCCTCCTCCCCCTCCGCCCCTACCCTCCTCTTCCATCCCTTCGTCTTCCAACAAATCCATCCCCAGAGAGCCCGGGGAGTGCTCTTCCCCGCTTGCTCCCTCCCGAAAGGAAGGGGCCGGGCTGGCAAAGATCTCCCGCTGGCTGCGGCGTTGCAAAGTGGCCCCCCGGGTGACACTTCGTAAGCCACTGCCCGGTGGGGACTGGAACGAGCGCGGGGAAGGCTCTAGAAGACTGGCAGGACTGAAGGGGGCGCCGTTCGCCCCGGGGCTGCGGGCAACGAGGCGGGTCCGAGGAGGGGGAGAGGCCTGGCTGGAGGGGGAGAGGGTGGCGGCGGCCGGGAAAAGTGCCCCTGGGGATGGAGCGTCCGACGTTGTGACTGGCCGGTGGGTGCTGGCCGTTCCCTCTTGTCGTGCTGCGGGTGAGGCTATCCCCGCCACGGCTAAGGCGGCTGCGGCTGTGGCGGCTGCCGCGGCTGCTGGAATGGTTCTGGTCGTTGGGAATGGACCCAGACTTGCGTCGTGCATCCCAGCAGGAGGCGACGATGCCACATGTACAGGCAGTCCGTGCTTTGATGTGGGTGATAGCGTCCCTCCTTGTGTCGCGGAGGGGGCTTGAGATTGACTGGAAACGGGGCCTGCCTGCGCGGCTACGGGAAGCGGCGCAGGTAAATGCGAGGACGCCATTTCAACCGAATGACCTTGCTGCAAAGTCTCAACTTCAGAGAAATCGAGCATTTGGGGCATCGTTTCCATGTCTTCCATTTCCATTGTCGAACTCATTTCCCCCCCTGCGGGAACTGCAGCTGCTGCGGCCGGCCTGGCTGATGCTATCGATGGTGAAATTGAAGACACCACGGCGCAAGCGCCTGTTTCCGGAACTCCTGCATTATCCCTGGCATCATTCTCGCTATCTTTCATGGCTTGATTTCGTCCTGTGCCTATGGCAATGGAAAAAGAAGGCTTCGTTGGGAAGAACTCAGCTCTGTGGAGGGAAACGGAGAAAAGAAAAACGATGCCGGCAAGCCCCTTTCCAGGCTTCGACGCACCAAGCACAGCCAGGGGCCATCGAATCAAGAAAAAATAAAACCAATTGCTGCACACACACGCCTGCACCCTCTTGGACGCCTGGACGTGCCCGGGGGGGTGCTTCGTGTAAGGACACGGTCTGGTCATTGCAAAGCGTGTCGTGAGCGAGTGGAACTTGGCGAGGGCCCTTAAAAAAAGAAAGCACATGGCCCACTGTCCTCCCTTCCCAGTGGAGCCTCTCGTCGTGCGCGTATTGGTAGGCCTCGTGACTGAGTGTGACTCCGCCTTTTGCGTGGGTGCATTTTTGCTAGTCCCTTCTTTCATTGACGCGCGTCGCCTTTATTTTCTCCCTCCGTCAACAGAGCTAGCGCAACGACCACTTTCAAGTCACTATGTATGGCCCTGTCCCCGCCCCCTCCCATGCCGAACAAAGCAGATCTGAGGACTCGAACAAAGTCATGAAGTTCAAACGCCAGCAGGCCTTGACACCCACGCCGCAATCCCCGTTCACTGACTTCCGCCATCGGGGAAACGAGGAGGAGGAGGAGGAGGAGGAGGAGATCGTTACATTTCGTATTGACGGACAACACGTTCCAGCGAGTAACACAACAAGCACGCCGGGGGAAAACGAGCTGCACAAATTAAAGGATGCAGACGACATATCGCGCGCAGAGACGTACCAGCGAGTACCTCTGACATGCACACAGGCTCCGGCACAGTCCTCGGTCCCTATTCCCACCACCGACGCTGTCGCGTTCGGGGGCCATCCCTCTTACTCCTGCGCGAAAAAGCCTCAAGAAAAGGCCATGCACAATATGGAAGCGGTCATGGAGGCAACTGCAGCCAAGAGTGTTGGCGAAACGAATCCTTTGGGCCCAGCGTCTCTCCCCTCAGGTCCCTGCGCCCCCTTTGATGGCAGCGACATGAAAGACCACGATGGCTTGAGCCTGCCCAAGGAAACGGCAGGCATCGACAAGGACGTGAAGGAGGACCAGGAGATGGACGAGCTGAATGGTCGCTTGTCGGAAGGACTGTCCCTGAAATACGATTTCGGCGGAGAACATTGCCCCAAGTACTCTCAGAGAGAAGTGGACTTATTGGTGGGCAAACGCGTGGAGGAAGCCAAGACTGCTTTGGTGGCCGCTCAAGCCATGGCCCACACGGAAGAGATGGCAAGCTGGGAGGCCAAGCTGAAAAAAGCCGAGGAGGACGGGCAACGTTGGAAAGCGCAGTGCCATGGCCTCGAGCACGACCTCTCCGCCGAATTGAAGAGCGTGGAAGGCGCGTTCGCCGCCCGTTTGAAAGAGACTCAGGATGAAGTCGTGTCCAAGGAGATCCAGCTGAGAGCGGTCACGGCCCAGCTGGCGGACATGCAGCAACGCATTGCTGTGGCAGAGAGAGAGGGTGAGGAAAGTCGTCAGAAGCTGGAAGAAGCAGGGCGGAAAGAAGCGCGGCTCGTGCGCGAGATGGCCGAGAAATTGGAAGCAGAGAAAGCTCGACGGGTCAAAGATGTGATGGACATGAAGGACCGGGTGGCCCAACGGGCCCAGGAGCAGTTCGCGGTTGCTCAGGAGCACTTTAATCAATTAGCCAGCACCTTGGAAGGGAAGGAGGCCGAAGTGTCCCAATACAAGGGGGAGATGCGGCGCGCTCAGGAAGAAGCGGGGGAGGCATTGCGGCAAAAGGACGACGCCGTGGCGAAGGCAAGAGATTTGGAGGCGGAGGCGGCAGCTTTGAGGGTCACGGCGGGCCGAATGGAGGAAGAGAAGGAGCGACAGGCGAGGTCGGCAGAAGAGAAGATGAGAAAGCTGCGGACCGCACTGGAAAAAATGGAGGATGAAAAATCCATTGCCATCAAGGACAGGGAGCAAGCCTACGAGTCCTTGTCACGCACAGCCGTCTCGCTGCAAGAGCACAAACGGAAAGCGGAGGAGTTTGAAGAGAAGTACAATACTTTGTTTCCGAAGGCCATGGAGCATGCCAGCATGTGCGAGGAGCTTCTGGTCATGGTGGAATCTCTGAATCAAAAGCTAGAGAGCCAGGAGGGGAAATGAGACAAGTCTTGCAGCTTGGTGCGTGGTACCCGAGTGAAAAACAGGTCCGATGGCGTGGAAACCGGACTGGCTGAACTCGTGGACGCTTTGCGGTGTGTGGACGATTACGATTGGTGGCATGTATTTGAAAGAGTTTCAAGAGAACGGTAAAGGCAAATAGAACTGTGGATTGACACAAAGAACATATGGCGAAAATATGAATATTGTACGCTATTGCACGTTCGATTCGAAATGGAGATTTTGGGATCTAAAAGCTTGTTAAAGCTCTGCTTTCAAAGCTCTTCTTTCCTTGTGGGGATTGCCAAAATTTGACGGATAGAGAAATGGAACTTTTCGCTCGAAACACACATTTCTCGTTGAGCCTTTCAGGGAGGCAGGTATCCTTACGACGGTCTTCTAAAAACAACGACTGGGAGTCCCATTACATATTATTTCTATCATCGACGCTTCTGTCAAAGTTTTTCCACCACGTGACTAATCGTTCGACCAATCTAAGAATTGTTACTTTGACGTGCCTCCAGACGGTCTTTAGCCAGGCGAATGGTATATCCAACCAAGATCGATCCGTTTTCCACAACAGCCAGGAAATGGCCAAAGCCTTCGTTTCGTTACCAGTAATGTGGAAAAAGTTTTTTTTCCCATTCGCAAACTCTGGATGGGCTATCCTGATGTATACCATAAGTGATAATACAGCACTTTGCGTTGGGTTTTTACGAACATAACTGACCATCGCATGAACGGTCTCACCACTGAAAAGGTGATGACGCTGAACAAATTGCTCGGCCGTTCTTTCTGTTGTACAAATTTTCAATGGAGTGCGTGCAGATGTATATTTGCCGAAGCGAACATCACAAGCTGTTTTGCGACTGGAAGAGACAGAGGTCGTCCTACAGATGAAGTGGGTGTAAAGCAATAGCAGGCAGAAGACACTTAACAACGGCGGTCGCGCCATTAAATGAGTACACAGCGTTAAGCAGAACCTGTCAGAAATTGTGCAGGGTAAACAAGTTCTGAAAATTGGAGATATGACTCTTCACATAAGCCGGGAGGTAGTGCGAAATATCAATAAGCTCAGGAAATTACTTTGCATAATTGACATGTAACTCCCACAATATCCAGCGAATTTCGATGTCTAATCATATGAAAATTATTTTAGCCCTGTCAAGTAGTTGCCAAGCAGGGCACGTGCTTCTTGGTTAAGAAAATGCAAGTTTCGACCGGAAGCCTACTGCATCGGGTAACGGCTTCTGAGCCGTTGGATCCTTCGTCTGATCACGACCACATCCAAAATGGATTTCTTCACGAGTTCATAGCTTTATCGCTCCATATACCCTTCATTCGCAGAAAACAGCGCATGTCGGGATTTGTCTCCACTCTTGCCTTGCGACGACCACAAAGACTGCTTCCTGTTGCGCTGTCTCTTATCGCGTTTCTGGATACTTTTCGCCCGATCAATACCTTTGCCACTTCGTATCACATGATGGCGGCGTCCTCCCCGGCAGCACCTGCAGCATATTCTGGAAATGAAAACATTGTAGTCGTTGGTGGAGGTATCATGGGTGCTTGTACCCTCTACTATCTGACGCAAAAAGGGTTGAAGCCGGTGCTGATAGAACGAAGTGAGATAGCAGCAGCTGCTAGCGGAAAAGCTGGTGGTTTTCTCGCTCGTTCGTGGCACACTGGGGCTACAGCAGAGCTTTATGGCCTAAGCTTCGACATGCACGCCCAACTTGCCAAGGAGCTGGGGATTGAAAGCTACCGACAGATTCCGACTTTGCAGGTCCAAGGGGGACCACGGGCGGGACAAAAGAAATCCAAGGTCAAGCCATCTTGGTTGAATGGGAGGGCGGATAGTGCTTTCATGGATGATGATACGGCTCAAGTCACCCCAAAGGAATTTACCGAGAAAATTGTCGCGGCTGCCGTGGCCAACGGCGCGCAGGTCGTGAAAGGCACGGTAGTGGGCTTGGCTTTTGGCGAGGGCCAGGATGGCACAGCACCTGTAGCCAGCATTCGCACGGTGACGGGGGTGCAATTAGAAGGTCAGGAAGAAGAACCGATACCGTGCAGTAAAGTTGTGGTGGCCACTGGTCCTTGGGCGCCTGTGGCGGGAGAGTGGTTCGGCATCCCTGTGCCCATGGAAGGTGAGTGTCGCAGGTGTTGGCTACGGGCACGGGGAGCTCTCGTGTGGGTCGCATCCGCCTCCTAAGTGCACGATCCGACTCGGCGTAAGATAGTTTTCCAAAGGGTGTGAGTTCCAGTGCGAAATGCAGTTATTCTACCTCTTCCATCCGTGACATTATCCTCTGTATTTGACTTGGCATTTCATGTGGCCTACTCCGCTACACAACAGGTATCTACAGCACAAGCATTGTCCTTCCCAATTGCGAGGCTGCCTCTATCCAAGAACCCTACGCGCTTTTTTGCGGGGAAGACGAGAACGGGTGCCACATCGAAGTCTATCCCCGACCGGACGGCAAAATCTACATGTGCGGATTGGGGGGAAGCGACTACGTGGGAGGTTCCCGTCTGACCCCCGGCGGAGACTGTGATCGGCCCGAAAAAATTCTTCCGAAACCTCATCGGGTGCACGCGGCCATGAAGTCCTTTTCAGCCATGTCCCCCTCTATGGCGCATGGGAAAGAGCCGATGGCGGCAGCCTGCATGCGACCCTGTAGTCAGGATGGCTTGCCCATCCTTGGCAAGATTCCTACGGCGACCAATGCCTACTTGGCCACGGCATTGAACCAGTGGGGAATACTTGGTACGTTTGGTCACTGCGCTTAAAACTGGGTCTACAGTCATCATGCTCCCGTATCAAGTTTTGCTTGGAGGGTCACTTGTCCGCTGATGTAGAATTTCCTGGACTTTTGCAGCGAGGCGCTGCGAGTCATTCACATACATGCTATGCCGATGTCTTAAACATTTCTCACAAAACCACAGGTGCCCCTGCTGCAGGACTATGTATGGCTGAGCTGGTAGCTGAGGGTAAAGCAAAGAGTGCTAATATTGACGCTTTCTCACCGGCTCGCTTTTTCACATCACGGACTCGGCGGGGGAAAAAGATGAAGGGCATAGAGGTTGGCGAGCAGTGGTGAAAAGAATGCGGTATTGCAAGAAATGAAAGAAGACGTTGAAAGCACATGGTCCAAGTCTTCAACATCACTATCTGGTGCTTTTTCCTTTTTGCCATTTCAGGACCCGATTCTCTCTCCTTACACTCTCTGTAGAAAAGCTTGCTCGTGAAGTGAAGCACGACATCGAATTGTCAGCGTACTTTGCGTGGAAGGTAAAAAACGAATATTAAGTCTCACAAAAGGCCAATGTCTAAATTGAGAAGCCTGCTGAGCGTCTCAGAGGGAGATCGGATACGACCCAACAAAAAATTGCACACCCCTGATACAAAAAATTTCAAGACGGTGTGGGCATCGAACTAAAACTACCGCTCGCATTCCACTGCATTTGAACCTAATCTATCGTCGACGGGTGATAAAAAATAATAATTCAAGCTGCTCGCTGCGTCTCGCCAGAGGCACTAGCGAGGAGGCGGAATACCGAAACAACCCCATGACGCTCTCTCATATCAATTATGCTTGACCGAGTTCGTGCACGGGTAACCAACCATTGTAGGCTTGAAAGTCTGGTTCCTCGTCGTCGTGGCTGGCGGAGGGGATAGATTCTTAACATTTTTTAGACGCAGATTGTCGCTCCCTGCGCCAAAGCCTTACTCGGGCAGCCCGACGTTCCCTCATTATTGCTCACCTCCAAATCCACGCCCGGCAATTGATTCCAATCACAACAGTGGTCGAAACCTTGGCTTAAAAGATGAGTCTTGCGTCAATAAACTTGCTGCTGGATAAGTCCTCAGATCCAGATAAGGTCAGTAAAGGGAGCGACACTTGTTGGGCTTCGCCGAGCTTTATCGATTTGTTCTATCCGCTGACAGAGATGACCATGTTGTTAATCCGCCCACGGACCCGAACAGGACGCCCGCTTTATGGCTACCAATGATTTATGCAGTGAGTTGTCGAAGGACATCAAGTTGGATGTGACCATGGTACGTTCCTTCTTCTACTTCTGAGGCCTCGCCAAGGCATCCTAAGAGAATCCCTACGCCCGCGCTTTGTGTCGTGTCCCTCCATCCATCATTGCTAGTACCAGTGAACGCCATCTTTAGTGAATGCCATCACTTTGACCACTCCGTCACATTTTTGCTGACGACGTCCCAGACGTGGCAAATTCCTTCGAGCCGTTCTTTCCGCTTCCTAGACTGATGCCCCCATCGCCTTCCCATCTCTTTTAGGAGCGGCGGATTTGTCAGGCCGTCCTTAAGCAGCTGGATGACGCCTCAAATGACGTACAGTCAATCGCTGTGAAATGCCTCGGCATCTTGTTCAGGAAAGGTACGATGTTGCTCCCCATCCGCCCTTCCTCCCCTTCGCCCTCCACACCAAAAGGATGGTGCCCGTGCGGCATCAGTAGTTCCCTCCATTTCTCTCACCCGACTTTTTGGGGGATCCTTTGTTCCACCAGTCCAAGAAATGCAGGTGATCGAGATCTGCGAC